ACTGTCCATTTCACTTGAGTTAGGCGGGCAGCCTTTGGGACAAGCACTTTAGAATAAACAAAGACTATCCAGGAAGTTAGAGGAGACAAGAAAAAGAGCAAAGGGAGAACAAGACCTCCCTCAGTTCTCAGTTTTATTTGATCTTTAAATATGTTTGACATAAAAATGGCAGATTAAAAGAGGCTGGATCTCAGACCACAGTTAGGAAACATGCAGATTGCAGTGAAATCATGAGCAATTTGTAACGGAGCTGCTGCTGATGCGATGATGCTTGGGGAGCAAACATGAGGCCTATTAGTGAAAGCATGACCGTGAAGCAAAGAAGAGCATTGGACTTTACTGAAATTCAAGTTCAATGTGATATAATAGTTTGCTTTTTATGTCTATTCATTTAAAATGAGGAAAGTTTGGAATCAGCTATCAACATTTATCCTTCGAACCAAAACAATCAATTTTTAGAATAAAAGACCAAAGAACCAACCTGCTATTTCAGCTCACTTAATTTTTATAACAAACCTAATGAGAAAAGAGTAGTTCCCTTCTTTTCAAAGGGGGAAAAAACTGAGACTTAGGTGGGAGAAGTACAATTTCCAACATGACATGGCCAGGGTGGAGCAGAACTGGAATTTGCTCTTCCAAAGGCAGTGTTATTTCCACTTTTGGACTCCTTTATTCTATGCCCATGCGTTCCCTCTGTGATGATTCATTTTTATAAAGTACTTAAGAAATGAATATTTTCACAGCAATTCTTGGAATATTTCTAATGTTTACTTGGGCAAAACCATTAATGTGCGTGCAATAATGCGAACTGAAAAACCAACCCACAAGGTCACAGATTGAATGACAATCTGCCAGTCAACAACTATGGGTTGAGTGTCCACCATGTTGAACTTGTGTTCCATGGAAAACTTTTAGGTCCCCATGTCATGTTTTAAGAGCTGTCACTCTTAAATAGGAAAGCTGACAAGTTCTATTTCCCACATAAGCTCCTCTTAAACTGTTTCCCAAATTACTCTCACAATTCTTTTTGTGAATGATTCCTAATTTAAATTAGGTGCTCATTTTCATTGGCAATTCCATTGTGCAGTCACCACTGTTCCTCAACATTTCTGTATTATGCTCATTCTTATTCCAGCCTTCTTAATTTTTCCCTATTATTTACTCTTCTGATGATTCTTAAGAGTGGCACCAAATACATTCAAGCAAAAATAAATATACACAGCTGTTGGGAGAAGCCTCTGGTGATAGCCTCTTGCCTTCTTTACCTCTGAAATTTACAATTTTAAAAATGTTTCCTATGTGTCAGGAGCTGGTAAAACAAGGATGAACCTCAGGTTTCTGCCTTCCAGAGGCTCATAGTCTAAATACCGCGGTGGTCAAGACGTACAGCAAACATCCACAATGTAATGTGACAAGTGCTGTAGTCAAAGTGAGCTCCAAATATTGATGGAACACTCAGTGCTGAATTGATTCTGCCAGGGAGAGTCAGGAAATACATTCCTGAGAAAGTGATATTGGATCAGAGTCTTGAAGGTGAGGTCAGACTTTTCATTATAGAGAAGTTGAGGGAGGAGAACTCTCCAGGGCATCCTGTGCTTGGGGATTTCCAGGCAACTTGGGCTTGGTCAGAGTAGCTGGTACCCGTGTCCCCTGGGGAGAAGCAGAAGATGGTATTGCGAGCTGTAGAATACAGGGCCAGTCTAGAGAGCTAGTCTGGAATCCCATATTCAAGGGGCATCATATAAGATGAACCTTAAGGTGGATGGACCATAGGATGTGAGGTTTGGCAGTGGCAGATGATGAGGCTGGGAGATAAGTTCAAGGTCATGGAGGGCCTTATATGACATGCCCAAGAGTTTGTCTTTCCTCCCTTATGCAATGGGACAGCCTAGTGGCTCTTTTCAGGGAATAGATCCATTCGATTGATTGTGGAGGATAAATTGGAGAAAAGAAGTCAACAGGAAAAAAAAACAGTTAAGCAGCTGTTTTAGTAATCTAGGGGAAAGATGATGAGTGTCTGAACACGGGCTGTGACGAAAGAAAGAAGCCAGGGTCCCTGCTTTCTCAGGGCTTGCTGTCTATTTTGTGGGGATGCAAAACATTATGGTCAAATCAGTAACAATAACTTAAATTTGCACAATGCTCTAAAACAGAAAACAGCTGTAACATCATACCAAATATTTATTGAGAGCGTACACTATGGCAGGTACCTTGGGCGAATTTGACTTTGTCCTCCCAACAGACTTGCGAAGGGGATAGGGCACCTATGATTCTTATTCTGCAGAGGAAGAACCAGTCCCGAGAATCTAATGAATACTCAGTTCCATGCTGCCAGGGAGGGGCAGAGTCTGTGCTTGAGCTGGACTTTCACACTTCTTCTAGGGTGGCTTGCTTTTTCCAGAATACGGGGGTTAACTCTACACATGGCAAATATGTTAAATGTGTGATGTATAAGCAGCACATACTGAATGATTTCAGAGGCAGGAGAAAGAAGCACAGGGAAGAGCCATGAGGGATGTGTTTTTGGTGAAGGTGGCCCTTGGCCTGAGCCTTGAAAGCTGCAGGCTGAGGCCGGACTCCAAGAAGCAATGGAGCGAGGGCAGGGCATGCCCCAGGGGTAAGGAAGCATAGGTATTCATTTCCCCCTATAATTCCTGGGAGGATATAACTCTGATTTGAACTAATTAGTCAAATATTTATTTCACCCTCGCTCTTTTAGGAGCTACCCTAGGGGCAGGAGATGCTCACATGCATGAGGCCACAGTCTGTCTTTGAGAAGGAGGCCATCTGTTAGAGTTGACAGGGTGTGGGCTCAGGAGCCACTGCACCTGGGTTTGAATTCTGACACCAACACTTAGGAACTGGGTGGCTCAGGGAGTGTCACTGAACCTCCCTGATCCTCAGCTTCCCCATTTGTACAGCTGAGTTAGTAGTATGCAAATTGCGGGGTTGCTATGAAGATCACGGTTAGTATATTAATGTGCTTTGTACTGTTCAAAGTACAGAGCATGCGCTAAATGGATGGTAGTTATTATTATTATTATTATTAGTATTTGGGATTTCTCAGTCTAGTAAGGGAGTGTGGAGCAGAATGACAAAGTGTGAACCAACCTCCAGAGATCAGGCGGTGGAAAAACAAGAGTCTTGATTGCATGGGGAGTCTGCGGAAGCATCTCGAAGCACACAACGGTGGTCGGCGTGGATCTTGGCAGTCACCTCACACAACCCACCCTCCACTTTACACCTGAGGACATGAGTCACTTTTCACATTCATTAATGTTCTGGTCCTTCCAACTGTTGACAAGAGAAAATATCGCTGTCTAGTAGAAAAAAACCATACAGACCTAGGCGTTGGGAAGTCAAATGTCAGATAACTGTCGAAAGGAGGCAGAGAAAAGGGCAATTTGGGATGCATCAGCCAGATTTCTCAGAGATTACGGAGGACTGACTTATGGCAAGGTCGGACAACCTAAAGGGAGAGAAATACTAGCTCTTATGTAACCTGTGAGATGACTTCAGGGGAGGGGACAAAAGGAGCAAATGGGATTCTGGGGCAGCCTGATCCAGACTCCAGGTTCCTCTTGGCTCTGTGTTTTCTCTGCAGATGTCCCTCTGAGGATGTGGCCCCCTCTAGGAAGACAAACTGAACTAGTGCACCACTTTGTGACCAGATGCTCCGCATGCCATGGAAGAAATGGATGGCCTGCCCCCGAAATCATACACAGAGCACTGTGGGCCGAAAAACCAGTTTAAAAAGGTGTTTTCTTCTCTGGGTTCTTTTTTAAAAGGACTCCAAGATTTAGGGCAAAGGAAGTTCCTGAGGAGGCCACAGATATCCATTTCACGTTGTCATCTAAGATCCTGCTTCTCAGGTATAGAATGGGCTTCTCTACCTTTGTTCACACTCCCTGATTATACTCTGTGCTTGTGGAGGCCCCAGTGGGGACCACACAGGGCACACAAATGGCTAGAAGTTCAAAATCAAAATGATTTTATCTGCCTTGAGCCTGACCGTTGCACAGTGGATCCTGTGTGTTCTTGGGAAGTGAGCCCACCCTGGCTGTTGCAAAGGGGTTGGAGGCAGAGCATTTGTTTCATGAAATTGGGGACAATGTAAAGTTAGAAAGCTCTGGATGGAGTGGGTGCTTCACTGTGTCATGGCCATGGATCCAACCCGGTTCCTGGAGTCCCCACGGCCACGTGTGACAGCTCTCTCACTCTGTAACTGGTGATTAAACATTCTTGTCCTTTTCAAAGGAAACATTACTTTATTGCTAGAGTGAGAAATAGACTTTCGTTTTCTGAAGTCTCTGAGATTTTGGAGGTTTTCTCATGGCAGCACCATCCAGATGCTGCCCTGGAACACGGGAGGCTGTACTCCAACGCCAAAGTCCTCTTCCGGGATGCCTTACGGTAGCTCCCGGTGATATCAGACACATTTTGACCCTTGCTGCTCCTTTCTAAGATGCAGCTTTCTCTGTTTGGATGCCCTGTCCCAGGATGGAGATTGTTGTGAACCTGCAAAAACACAAGTGCAGTCATTATGGTTCTTTGCTTTTTCCAATATACTGTTTCCATTGTTTAAAGTATTCTTTAGCACAGTTTATGACCATCAGTGGCTCTCATTCCCTCCTTTGGGATGATAGAAGGACCTTAGAATTCTTTAACTCTTCCAATGATCTATCTTTAATCTTAGATGTTTCTTTTGAGGCTACTAGTTTCCCCTAGTTTTTATATTCCTAAATTGATCAAAATCATTGTTTTCTACTTAATTTATACTGTTTAGGTTTATCCACAAGTTTATCCTTACTTATTTATTTTGTTTTATTTTTTTTTAAACTGACTTCTGGTCACTCTTTTTTTTCGGTGAGGAAGATTGGCCTTGAGCTAACATCTGTTGCCAATCTTCCTCTTCTTTTCCCTTCTCAAGGCCCCAGTACGTAGCTGTGTATCCTAGTTATAAGTCCTTCTAGTTCTTCGACGTGGAACGCTGCCACAGCATGGCTGGATGAACGGTATGTAGGTCCACATCCAGGATCCCAACCAGCGAACCCCGGGCCACCAAAGTGGAGCGTGCGCACTTAAACCACTATGCTACCGGCTAGCCCTGTATCCTTTTTTAAATTCATCCTTCTCCTTTGCTGCCTGTATCTTCCTTCTGGGCTTAGGTTCCTTTTCAAGAATTGCATCCTTTAGTATTTTTTCAGTGGGGGAGTCTCTTAGGGGTCACCTCTCACAAATTTTGTCTTATAACTTCTTTATTACATTCTCGTTCTTGAAAGAATGTTTAAGTGGGTGTAGAATTCTAGGCTGACAGTTATTTCCCCTCAAAATGATGATGATAAAATTTTATTGTTATTGGTTTCTAATGTTGTTGTTAGAGATGCTATTGCTGGTCTGACATATATTCTTTCTTAGCTAATCTCTTTTGTTTTCCATGATGCTTCCAAGACCTCCTCTTTATCTTTAGTTTCCTGTATTTTTCACTAAGATGCCTAGATTTGGATTTGCTTTTGTTTATCCTATACATAATACCTTGTTGTTCTTAATATGAATATTTATGCTTTTCTGCAGTTCTGGAAAATTCTCAGACATTAACCTATCTTGCCTCTCTCCATTTTACCTGTTCTCCCCTTGTGGAAATACCAATAGATACATGGTGGCACCTCAAAATCTATCCTGCTCCCATATCTTTTGTTCTCTCGGCTGCAATATGGGTATTTTCCTCAGACATGTTTTATTACCCGCTGCTCTCTAAAGAATTAGTTGTATTTAATTTGCTCTTTAACTCGTCCATTGAGTTTTCAACTTCAATGACTGTTTTATCGTTTATGGAAGTTTTATGGGTCTGTTCTTTCTTTCACAGTATTCTTTTCTTATTTTTCCAATTTCTTCTTTTATGTCTACAATCATTCAACACATTTATTTTATAGTCTCAATTTTATGTTTCTGTTATTTGAAATGTTTGGCCTTCTAAACCAATTTATTTTGTCTTCTGTCATTGCTCATAGTTTGTTTGCCTGTTAAATGGAGATGAAGTTTAGCAAAGGGTTAAGAATCCACTCTGAGGCCAGAATACCTGGGTTTGAATATCAACTTTGCTGTTTGTTGGCTCGGTGATCTTGAACCAGCTACATAAACTCTTTATGCCTGACTTTCTTGAAATGTAAAATGAGAGTATTAATAGAACCTATCTTATTGAGATACTGTGTATTAATGTCATATTTAAAATAGTTAGAAAGAGATTGGCACATAAGACTTGCTTGAAAACATTGGCTCTATTATCATTACTATCATCGTCATCTATCTGGTTTGTGAACTCATCTTCGGTGGGGCTTTGACTTTCTGAACAAATCCTGGTGTGTTAAGGCATTCTGACATGATGGTTTTCCATTTATTTCTCTCAGGAAGATCTCAAGAAGATCTTCCGTCTGGATTCATGTTATATTTTAACTTATATGGCTTTGTGTCGGCGAAGCACAGGGCAAAATAAATTGAACCCCCAAACCTGAAGGTCTGCAGGCTCATATTAGGATTTGAGGAGGCCCAATAAATAGTCACAGTAAATCAGAATGGGAAATATAATAGAAAGGCTTATCATCCAGTCACAAACACAGCAAGCCCCTATAAAACTTACAGTATGCACAAACCAAGGGAAATGCATACTTTCTGTGGCTTGGCAGATCGCAAAAGGTAAAGGAGAGAGGAAAATGCTGAAGTAAAACATGCCCAACTTATTTCATGAACTGCTAGTTAGATAAGACACTCTTCCTCTCCTGGAAAGTGAGGGATCAGGAAAGGACCATAGAGTGACACTAAAAGATGCCCCTCCACGTGGAAACATGAAGCCAAGGGAGAGAAGTTTCCTCTACACTATCGTGTACCCAACCTGGCAACAGTCCATCAAAAACTCAAGCGGATTCCAGGACAGTTTGTGGTGTGTGTTGTATTGTGCAGTGAGTGGCTGTCTAGGCTAATGATTTTTACAAGTCCACATTTTATATAGAATGTAGTCTTTCAAAGGACTCTGCTTTGCGGGGGTCTCAGTTTCAACTCTTCACCTTTTGCAGCGAAAGCCCTGGAATCTAAAACTGGATGTCAAACCCCAGTTGAAGGTTTCTTAGTTCAGCAACCCCACTTCTTTACTTGCTTGAAAGCTCAGCTACACATTTAATGGAATATTAGTGTTATTTTCACTAGTGTTTTAAGGCATTTTGAAGCAGGGTCGTTTAGATAATCTATGCTTTGGATATTTTTGGTTTTCATAACAGGGGTAGGGAATGCTACTGGCACCTCCTGGGTAGACCCCAGACATGTTGCTAAGCATCCTATGATATACAGAACAACCATTTACAATAAAGAATTGGGGCTTGCCCCATGGCCGAGTGGTTGAGTTCACGTGCTTGGCTTCAGTGGCCCAGGGTTTTACTGGTTAGGATTCTGGGCATGGACATGGCACCACTCGTCAGGCCATGCTGAGGTGGTGTCCCACATAGAACAGCCAGAAGGACCTACAACTAGAATATACAACTATATACTGGGGGGCTTTGGAGAGAAGAAGAAGAGGAAGAAGAAAAGAAGATTGGCAACAGATGTTAGCTCAGGTGCCAATCTTTAAAAAAAAAAAGGAATTATCTGGTCTCAAATGTCAACAGTGCAAAGGTCGAGAAACTTGCAGGCTAAATAAAGTATGCAAGCTTTCATTACTTTTAACTTTATATGCATTTTATTTTACATGTCCTTGTATTTTGGTAAATGGTACATATCCGTATTGTTTAAAACTAATCTGTCACTCTCTGTTCTTTAGTGAGTGAGTTTAGTTAGCTTATATTTATTGCAGTTATTATTATAATTGGACCTACATCTACCATCTTAACTTATTGTTGTACTCTGCTACTTTAATCCTATATTACCTTCAAAGACTTGATATCTGTATCAGGGGCCATAAATTCTTCTTCACATCTTTGTGGATAATGGAAAGGATTGAATGGTGAGAAGGTATTAATTGCAAATTAAATATTTTGGGGGAGGAGAACCCTCCCTTTGGCCCTATTTATAAAATGAGGTGTTTAGATTAGACAATTTTCAAGTTCTAATTATGAATTAGATACTGAAATTTTTTGTGGCAGAGACATTCCAGCTGCTCACTGAATGTTGACATGCCTCCTCCCTCACGCACACAAACTTTTACACATTCTTGCAGATAAACAGGACCATATGGCTCCCTTTGGTCAATGGAATATAAGAGTCACTTCTGAACTGAAACATTTAAGATCGAATATTTGATCCTCCATCTCTTTTTCTTCCATGAATAACAACCGAGGTTTGTTTTAAGATGATAGAGACTTCATCAGTCTGAGTCTGTAGTGACTCTATTGATCAGAGACCCTATGTAACAACTCATGTCAATGAAAATAAACTATTTTTGATTCAAGCTGCTGAGATTTTGGAATTTGTTTGTTATTGCAGCACAGTCTATGTTATACCTTCTCAGTGTGACAGCTAGGTGACAGGAGGTTTGACCCAGTATTTGTAAGAGAATAGAATGGTAGATACAGACAGAGGATGGTAAAATTATTCTCCACCTACTTTGTGTTCCTATATCATTTAATTCTTACCTCCATATAACTGTGTTCGGTTGAATTGTAGTGTACATTTTAATATCGTGCTCATCTCCACTGGACTGTGAGATTTGTACTCAGGGTTTTATGACAGGATGATGCCTTGTCCATCCTAATATCCACACACCTAATAGATGCTAAGCATAGAGTAGGTTCATGAATGTTGAGCAAAATAGTGAACATGTAAATATACGAAAGCAACTGACACAGGACCCTACACACAACTGGATGTTCAGCAAGTGCTTGGTTGAATGAATGAATTAATATCAGAACATGTAGAAGAATGAATGAGGCCATTGTACACCATGAAAGAGGGATGGAAGATACAAAAGTCATAAATGAGACCCTAAGACTGGAAATGGGAGGGGCTCCCAGACAATTTCTATGTACTTAATGACATTTGTGATGCATCCAATAGTGTTAAATTTGCTTGGATATAGTAAGAAAGGCATCAGAAAACCACCTGCAACTCATGGTAGTATTGCCCTTGGCGGTGGTTGGGGAGGGGTAAGAGTTGCCAGACTCATGGAGTGGGGATGCTTAACTTGCTGAGGGTCCAGGGCAAGTGGAAGCATATGCTAGGAAAGAAGCTGTTACAAAACTCTTTCTAAGTCTAGAGCTTAAGGAAAGCTGTCCAACTCAGATGGGGAAGACTAGGGTAGGGAAGGAGGATAATGATTCCGGAGCCTGAACTCACCTGATCAGGTGTCCCAGCTCTGGCTCATTGTCTGGGAGCTGGCTGTGCTTCAGGACCTAGGGTAGCAGAGGACTGAGTTTGGTTGCTGCTTTTGGGCTCAACTTTGAGGCAGCCTTTGTGTGGCAACCAGGAGCACTCCCCATGTGGCTGCAGGTATCCCATTTCCCCAGCTTCCCAAGTGAGTCAAGGATGTCACTGGTTTCTATGCATCTGCTCTGAGATTGCTGCTAGAAATGACTCCCTCCAACAGTTGAATCATTTTTATGTTGGACTTGCTTGGTTGTAGGATGGAGTCGGGTAGTTGGTGTGCTCAAGTCTTGCACTCTGGGGGCAGATAGGGGCATTTTATTTGACTCCTGAACTGGGAAGGATGTGGGCTAGGGAAATGCACTCTGGCTACAATAAAACAGGACCTCACATTTATTGGACCTTTCCTAGATGCTTAGGTGCTCTGCTAAGGATTTTTTTTTCATAAAAGCAAGACTCCTGAATTTAAATCCAGGCATGGAACTTTGTGAAAATTATTTAACTTTTTCAGGTCTCAGCTTCCCCATCTTGGAAATGGGGATAACAATTCTACTGCCTCATAGAGCTGCGGTTCGTTTAATGAATTAATGCAAATAAATGGCTTAGGACAACACGAAATGGTTAGTCCTCAGTCAATGGTATTGATTTTTATTGCTGCCATTTAATCCTCACCACAGTTCAGTGGGTATCGTCGTTATTCTCACTTTCCCCATTCAGAAACTGAGGCTAAGTTCATGAAGCTGGCAAGTGATGCAGCTAGGATAGCAATCTACATCTGACTCTGGACTACACCTGGACTCTGAGCCAATACTTAGTTAAACAGTATCCCCTTCAAACTCATGGAACCCCAGTGGAGTCAACCAAAATGTCCAAGACGAATAAAGAAAATGTGATCTATACATACAATGGAATACATTACAGCCTTAAAAAAAGAAGAAAATTCTGCAATATGCAACAACATGGATTAACCTTGAGGACATCACGCTAAGTGAAATAAAGTCAGCCACAGAAAGACAAATACTGCATGATTCCATTTATAAGAGGTATTTAAAATAGTCAAATTCATAGAATTAAAGAGCAGAACTCTGGTTGTCAGGGACTGGAGGGGGAGGAAATGGGTAGTTACTAATCAATGGGTGTAAAATTTCAGTTGAGCAGGATGAATGAGCTCTAGAGATCTGCTGTGAAACATTGCACCAACAGTCAACAATAATGTATTGCACACTTAAAATTTTATTAAGAGGGTAGACCTTACATTAAGTGTTCTTACTACAATAAAATAAAATTTAAAAATTTCTTGGACTGGAATGGGACCTTATTTGGAAATAAGTTCTCTGCAGATGTTATAGCTAACTTAAGATGAGATCATACTGGATTAAGGTGGACTCTAAATTCAGTATGACTTGTATGTCTTTATAAGAAGAACAGAGACACAGAGAGAAACACTGGGAGAAGGCCGTGTAAAGATGGATGCAGATATTGGAGTGATGCATTGAAAAACCAGAGAATGCCAAAGATTATTGGCAACCACAAGAAGCTAGGAAGGATTCTTCCCCAGAGTCTTCAGAGGGAGTGCAACCTTAGTTCTGGACTTTTGGCCTCCAGAACTGGGAGAAATTAAATGTCTATTGTCTTAAGTCACTCCGCTTGTGTACCTGTGCTACTGCTGCCCGAGGAAACTGACACAGCCTCTACACTCCCTGCTTGACTGCTTACTGTGGGCCAACCCCACCATTGGGTGGGGCTTCTGTTTTGGGGGACAGAGGGTGTGGAATTCTCTGTGAAGCCTTTCCTGTGCCTGACTGGCAAGGTTATTTTTAATTTTAGCTTGTGAAGCCCATAATGAGGGATTTTCTCACTTTTCAGTAGGAGTCAGACTTTACACCCCAGCAGGCAGGTTCTTAAAATGGAAGAATTGTAGAAAGGGCTTGTGAAGATGTCTAGAAAGTAAAAGAAGCCTTTATCCCAATGGTTATGGGCTCCAGACAAAATCCATCATCATCGTCATCATCATCATCGTCATTATCATCAAAATAATTCCAAACATTATTATGCCAAGCACTGTGCTCAGCACACTAAGAGAATTATAACATTTAATCCTCATTATACATTCTAAAGTAGACACTATTACCCCTGTTTTATGGATAAGAACACTGCAGCTCGGAGTATAAGTAGTGCATTCCACTAGGATGAAGTGCACCTGTGCCATGGCTCTCATCTCATGCCCTCAAATGTCAGCACTGATGGACGGGAGCTTCAAGGGAAGCTTCTGTGAAAGAAAAATGGCTGGAAAGGCAAAACCTCATCTGCATCTAATAGTCTCCATGACATCAGCGAGGATGAAAAGCATTCCATCCACCTGCGTTTTGCACACTTCAAGTGGCTGGAACTCAGTAAACTCAAATTGCTGTTTTCAGCTTGAAAAGCTACAAAAGAAAAGTGAAGAAAAAGAGAAGACAAGATTTTGAGGTGAGTTTGGAATTGGAGGCCAGTAACACTATTTGTATATTCCTCTAAGAATATAATTTATTAGTTTGGCACACTCTGCTCTGGCAGCCCAGGTTAGTTCCGAGGGGCAGAACCACATCACTTGTCTGTCAGTAGCCATGCTGTGGTGGCGGCTCACATAGAATTTGAAGAATTTACTGTAATACACAAGTTTGTACTGTAGCTTTGGGGGAGAAATGGAGAAAAAAGGAGGAAGATTAGCAATAGATGTTAGCTTAGGGTGAATCTTCCCGTTTGAAAAAAATTGTTGAAACAATGTCAGAGAGTGTTGCTGTGGCTCAATGTAGGCAAAATTTTTCATAGATTGAGAATTAACAAAGCACAAAACTTTAAGACTAGGGGAAAAATTACAGTTTCGTGAGTACCTTCTAAATGCCCAACCCTACTTTATGTATGTTTTCACATTGATTCTTTCTACAACTTGCAAGGCAGTCATCAAATGCCCCTATTTTATAGATGTGAAAAATGGATAAGGAAATCTGACTTAAAATGGAGTCTGGAAGCCGTGAAGGGAGAGCTCTCATGCAGGTACCATGCATCTCAATTTGCACAAACCAGCAGGAAGAGGGAAGATTTCCATGTGCCTCAGTAACACAAAACTGTTGGCCATTTGCAGCCAATGAGAAACTGCCACAACCCTGAACTCTCACTTTCTTTCAACAAACTTTTGTTCCAAACAATCCTCTCCAATTTTCTCTTAAAAATTAATCAAAGCTCACTGTCTCTTTGTCTCCCCAGATGTGCTTAAGGTTCACCATAGTTTGCTTGTCCTGACTTGTAATTCCTCTGCTTTCCCCAAATAAACTCAACTTTGTTTTTCTAATTTGTCAACTATTTTGTTTAAGGTTGACACATAATAAAAGTGGAGCTTGGAGATACTACGTGTCCTGTCTGAGGTCCCAAAATGCTCATCTCTCTGACTCTGAAGGGTACTTATCATTAATGTTCCAAAATGTTCCAGAAACTATTTTAAAGATTTAACAAAGATTGACTCATTGAATCCTCACAGCAACCCTGTTATTATCTTCATTTTAAAATGGAGGCTTTCAGATGGGTTAAGTCATTGTCCCAGGCCACTATGGGGCAGAATCAGCATTTGAACCCAGGTGGCCTGGTTCCTGGTCTCTGTCGACCTCTTCTGCTCTCAAACAAGCAGCAGGCAGTGAAAGCAGTAGTACAGCAATTATAGCAGTGATAGTAATAAAAAATAATGTGTGACTAGGTTAAGAAACTCTAGTCAGAATTTCTCTTAGATGTCTGTGAAGAGCTTGAGAGTATGGGGATGGGGAGAGAGAGATAAATGAATTAGATCAGGAGGAGTGAGATGAGGAGCAGAGGTGGGAGAGGGAGAGAGGGTCTGGGAGGAGGGAGAGAGGATCTGGGAGGAGGCAGGAGTTTGTGGGCTCTATTACAGCTCAACAATGTTGGGTAGAATTTGAGAAAGGGTCTGAGCAGACTTAGCATGGGGCAGAAGCAGCTGGAGGAAGCTGGAGCCCAAGGTGCAGAGTTGGTCAGGAGAATGTAATCATCTAGGCATTAGAACATCTTTGAGAGAGGCTCAGAGTTGGAGAGGCCATGGCATTGGGCTCAGGGCAGCTAAAGGCAATTTCACCAGGTTTTCAAGGTGCAGAAAAGTCCATTGGCTCACTTCCTGTGTTGGAAATTTTATTCAGATCCAAATCAACCAATACATCTAGTATTTTTGATATAGTTTTTCATTAACTTTGTTTTCTCTGTGATAATATTATTTCCTTGACCGTGCGCTGCTTTCTTTTAGCCAAGGATTTGGGGGTTCGTTTTCTTGAATCCTGGCTTTATTATAAGTAGAGGTACGCATCTAACAACATCACATCTTTTAATGTAGTTCTCCTTTTTACTACACTTAGAAAATTACGTTGATTTTATTTTGATTTTTAAAATTATGTTTATGAATAGGTTATATTATAAATGAACTTTATTGCAGAATAGTAAAAGTCATTATATTTATTTATAATAAGATGGAAGTGGAGAATCTGATAAGGCTGAGAACTACTCTACTAGACATATTTCTATCCTCCATGTTCCCATGGCTGTGACTGACATACAGCAGGAGCTCAGTAAGTGTTGGGGACTGGATGAATGGGTAGACAACTTACCTGCCTTCAACATTAGTGTAAGGAGTTCGGTGGGCACTGCTGTGTGGTTTTTGAATGATATCTTTTTAAGTAGAGATGATAAGCTCTACACCGTGGACTTCTGAGATTCAGGACAATTTATATGAGTCTAGTCCCTGAGAATAAGGCAAATTCTACACTGAGAGCATTCCTCTTGCAGCTGGCCTTTTTTGGGAGATGAAACCGTTTCTTGTTGGCTCAGCACAAATTTCCTAAGAAAAGGATTGCAGCTTGATATTAATGAGCTCAAGAATGGAGCACTGAAAAAAAAGAAAAAAGGAAACAAGCAAAGAGTTCCCAGTATTCTTCGGAATATGTTGTTCTCAGGAACCATTGATACGCCCGATTCTTGGAGTTCTTGCCTGTGTGTTTCTTTAGTTTCTTCTTCTGTTCTGCTCTGAAAATGGTTTCTCTTCCTATGTTATCCATCAGTCCTTGCCAACCAGCCCACGTTCCTCTTTTGCTGTGACAGTTCTTTCCTGTTGTGTCCCTGAGCTTGTGTGTCTCCCAAAGGTTTGCACTAGCTGGAAGATGGGCAATAAATGCTTGCAGGTAAGTCATTGACCTGGAAAGAATCTTAGGACCCCAAACATTTCATTTTATTGAAGAAGAACTAGAGAGCGTCACAGAGGTGTGATGACTGCCATCACGTTGTGCAGCTGGTTAGTGGCAATGCTGGGCCAGAAATTCTTGACTCAAGGTCCTTAGTTAATATATAAAACTTTGTGCTTGAGAGGGAGTTGGATACAAAATAAAATATACTTTTAAACTAAATTATAAGGATGTGGCTTCTTTGATTAATAAAATTTTAGAATATATATTATACATACACACATAATGCATATGTAATTATATAATTTTATTTGAGATAATATATGCCATTGGAATGCACTATTGTAATATAGAGGGAATTTGCAAAAATTATACATATTTAAGTATGAAAAAGGAAAAGTAAAAATGAAAAGAATGGAAAGAAGGAAAGGAGAACTCAACGTGCTGAATAATTTACATACCGACAGCAAGTTTCTTTGAATGGAACATACAAATGTATGTAAATTGGCCTGCCTATTTAAGAAAAAGATATGCAAATATATGTCCATGGAAATCTGCTACCCTTCATGTTGAAGCAGAATAACAAGATGCTTATTTTCACTCAAATTATTTTTCTTCTTTCCAGAATGTCCCCTCAGGAAACTGTAGGGCAAATTCTTGCATATCTAGCATTTTAGATATCCATGCATCCATCTTATATGTACTCCAAGCCAGGCATTACAGGATGGTGGAGTTACAAAGGTGAATAAGCCACAGAAGGTACTAGTCTCCAGGGAGCTCAAAGTCTAACAGAGGACAGAACATGTACATGGGTTCTCACGATGCAGCGTTGGGATACGTGTGCACTTGCTGGAATGCAACCACTCAATGTGCAAATGCACTCATTGAGATACATGTCATTAAACTCACTTGTAATAAAATGCAAGTGGTGGGTCTGATAGGGTTGGGAGCTACTCTATTGATACATCTCATGTCCCTGATACTCTCCTGACTGTCAGGGCCCGACTTTGTCAACTCTCCCACTTTGTCTTTGAGTTCCCTTCTCTTATTGCCTCTAGTCCTTCTTTTCTAAGTCCCCATCTTGGGCTCAACACCTTCAAGTGTCTCCTGATTGTCTTCAATCCTAGCCAAGTTGTTAAGAGGGAGGCAAGCTCTGTGCAGCCCTTTCTAGATGCATTCCTCTATGATTCTACATTAAACAACACAAACTGGGTCACAGGGATAAAACGAAAATGACAAATGGAGGATAAAAAGGGAAATGATTTCTCTTGAAGGATTGGCTTTCAAAAAGCATGGGCATAGGAAGGGCAGACTAAATTTGAAATCTCATTTAGTCCATCCGGTGATCAGGGGTAGGTCACAACCACTTTGGAACAAACCAGAGGGAATACTACCTACATGAAGCGTTGTGAGGAGGAATGAAATGAAACCAATAAGTAAATTCATATTTCCATCCCAGAATCTTCCCTCAAACTCCAGGCTCGTATAAATAACTGACTCTTGACATCTCTACCTGTACCTCTAAGATTAATCTCAAAACATGTCCTCAACTGAATTTCTGATCTTCTCCCCGATCTGTTCCACATGCGTCACTACCTGTATCAGTTGATGACCACTCCATTCTTCTCGCTGCTCAGGTCAAAAACTCTGGAGTCACCTTTGAGTCCTTTCTTTCTTTCACACCTCACATTTTGTATATGAGAAAACCTTGCTGTATCTACCTTTGAAATACAATCAGAATCTAACAGTTCTTACTGACTCCCCTGCTACCATCATAGCCCCAACCACCAGAGTGTCTGACTTCAGTTATTGCAATAGCCTAAAGACAATGTGATTCTTGAAAATCTTAAGTCAGATCATGTCAATTCTCAAAATACTACAATGGCTCTCCATTTTCAATCAGAGTAGAAGCCAAAAGCTTTACAATGATCTACGAGGCCCTTCGTGAAATGGCCCTCATTGCCTCTCTGACCTTATCCCTCTACCCTCTCCCTTGCCCTTGCTCTCTCTGATCTAGCCACACTGGCTCTTGAATATCCCAGACATATTGCCACTGGGGCGACTTCGCACTACCTGTTCCCTCTGTCTGGCAACCTCTTTTCCATGTAGTCTCATGGCTCATTCTTCCTCCTTTTTCAAGTCTCTGCTCAGATGTCACCTTCTCAATAAGACCTAATGTGACCATAGAATTTACTACCACAATTCCCTCCCAGTGCTCTCTGCCCCCTCACCCTGCTTTATTTGTGCTTTTTAGGTAAGAAACACCTGCCTCTTTCTAACAAGCTAGAAAGTGTACTGACTTATTATGTTTATTGTTAGCTGTGTATGCCCCTCCCCTCCATAACTGAAGCTCCTCTGAGGGCAGGGATCTTTATCTGTTTTGCACATTCATGTGCCTAAATCTGTGTCCAGAAGCATTGTAGGAGCTTCACAAATATTTGGCAACTGAGAGCAAGTGCTCAGTTGTAGTTAGTTTTCTCTTCTCTGTCTCGACTTCAAATGAAAAGCGACATCCAGTTATAAGATAAATAAGCACTGGGATGTAATGTACAACTTGATGACTATAGTTGACGCTGCTGTATGATACACAGGAAAGTTAAGAGAGTAGATACTAGGAGTTCTCACCACAAGGAGAAACTTTTTTTCTTTTCTTTCTATTGTATCTATGAGATGATGGATGTAACTAAACCAGTTTGAGGTAATCATTTCACAACATGTAAATTAAATCATCATGCAGTACACCTTAAACTTAGACAGTGATGTATGTCAATTATTTATCAATAAAACTGGCAGAAAAATGAAAACTACAGAATGTTTGTTAGGGCCAAAAAAGGAAATGGCCACCAGCCATCTTTCCTGCCTGCTCTTGCTGTGACAGGACCCCATTCAGTCTGGGAGATTTATCAATGCTCCTAAGGTGGCAGTTTCCACCTGGAGAGGCAGTCATTGTTTTTGGTGTGGGTTCATCTCCCTTTGGGACAAATGCCATGTTTCCTTCTCCTCCTCATGCCGGATGCCACGTCCCACTGCATCTCATGAACAGAGGTATTGTGCTCCTCACCAGGAAAATGCTGATCCTCTTCTGTTTCCTCTTTTCAGTGGCAGACGCTGTGTCATTCAGCCCCCGGGTTTCACAGTTTTTCTTTGTTGAAGGGGTTTTTCTTTGCATATGTGTGAGAAAAGTTTCTTCCTTCCTGGTCACATCCATTGTGGCTTCTCAGTCTATTCTGGGCTGTCTCTTCCATGCCTTACTCCTCGTGACAGTAGGTCTTGGAAAGGACTGAATAGATGATGGATTATTAATAACATCACATTGCCCAAATTACGTACGTCATCTTGCAGTTTACAAAGCACCTTCTTAGTTGTTGACTTAGTCATTCTCACAAAATGATTGGTCCTGCTTGTGAAGGTTGAAGGTAAATGGCATTTAGAATGAGACAGCCCTGCATTCAAATCAGAGCTTGTCCAGTTGTGACTTGTGTGATCTTGGATGCCCCTTCTGGCCTCTCTGAGCCTGATTTTGATCAAGGATAATCACAGAGGGATCATAAATTGTATCATACAAACCTAGAGGCTTTGAACTTGGAAGTGAGCACTTTTAACAATTGTGTGAGGATACAAACACCTGCTGCCTCTGTTCTGCACCTGTCAGATACATGATCGCCCTTGTTAATGCTAATACTTCTATCACTTAGAATACTAATGCTAATACTAATACAATAACAATTACCATTGATAATAATAATCCTAATGATGAATACTTATATCACCAAGTGATTGTGAAGATTAACAAATAGATGCTAAAAGTACTTACCTACTGTTAAATGTTATGTAAATATTCATTGTTTAATCAAAACCTGGGCAGAGAGACCAGGTAGATCACTCCTGAATAGATAGCACCTGAGAATAGAGGCGCTGGTGGTTTGTTTCAGAGTTACATAGCTGGTAATGGCGGAGCAGAATGTCTGACTCTTGGTTTAAAATGGATGCTTCTGTTTCCCCTTTTTTGCCACATTCAAAGGCATGCTCTGTTATCCACCTGGAGGTTAGCCATGCCTGTTTGCTCAGTGATGAGCTCCATAAGGCAGGGCCTGTGTCTTGTTCAGCCTTTGAGAGCACCTGGCACTGTGCACATGTTCAATGGATGTAACAATGACTGATGAACACATTGTTGGGGAGCAAATTTCTAAAGGGATGGTATGCACGACAGGTACTTTCTTTTCCCCGGGAAAGCAGGTAGAAGGAAAGACTCAGAATGTGGATAGAATCAGGGTGAGACATTCTGCATAAGCTTAAAGTGTCAGAAGCCCAGAATAGTGGCCTTAACTTTATCTAGTCTTTTTATACTTGCATTGCCAGCTTTTAGCACAGTGCTTGAACTTAGCAGCTTTGACAAATGCTGTTGAATGAATCAATGCCCGCAATTGCAGTGTATTTGAAATGAAGAGGAACATGGGGTTTTACCAGATAACAATCAAGTGGTTATTAACTTTTGGCCAAGAGAACCAAACACCTGGAAAAGTCATGGGCAGATGGTAGCAGACGACACCAGCTTTGGATGTGCTCCCTCATGTGCTGTGGATCTCAGGTTTGACAGATGGTCTCATGCACTGCTGATCTCCCCCAGCAGGAGATACTGGTTGCTTGTCATTTTGCACTGGGTTGACCTGAACCTTCTCAAAAGTATAACACAGCCCTCTCCAAATCATGCACTAACGGCTGGGTATACCAGGGTTCTAAGTCATGTGCATTCCACTAAACTATCTTGCCTTCAGCTGTTCATCTATTCTAATTTAGCTTTCCATACAATTTCAATTAAAGAGACCTCTAGAAAGTATTGTCCACTGAACATACAGAATTATTCCCTGAGCAAAGTGACTTACTCGTATAAAGTAAGACTAGACCATCATTTCCCAAGTTAATATCCCACAGAACACTAATCCAGCAAGATGTTCTGTGACAAAGGGTCCCATGCACAATAGCACGAGAACACGTGATAT